CTTGTAGGTGTGATGATAATCACCCCTCTTAGACCACAGGAGGCTGCTGTTGCCAGCTCACCAGAGCGGCTTTCTGGGATGTAGCTGAGCTGTCAGGTCAGGTCTCAGGGCATCCTCTAAACATAGGGAGAAAGCTCTGGCCTGGGACCCGGGATCAGTCCCTTTTTCCTACTCCTGTCATCAGAAGTGAGACCCTAGTCACAGGTTTCTCTCCTTCAAGAGGACTATGTCAGAAAAGACAACATTTTTAGGTTGGCCACATTAAAAACAAAGGATACTGGTCCTTTAACCAAGAGCTTCTTTAGCTTTAGTACCCCCAAACAGAGCAATCTCAGAAGGAAGCACTTGTTAGCACTTAGCAGTTACTCAGAAGTCTAGGATATGTCTGCTTTCTTTAGAAGTACCTGTTTCATGTCTGTTTTGTTTCTTCTTCTATCCAAGATAGTCTGCAGGACACTTAATGAGGAAAAAATGATCATTTGAAATGTCATTCTAAACTTTCTTATTAAATTGAAAAAATGGAAATATAACATTAGGATTTCTAGTAAAAATAATGCATTAGACTTTTTCTTTGTCATACACTATGTTCTCCTACCAAAAAGTAAAAAAGAAAAATAGAAGTACATTGAAAATAGTAGAGTTGTCTCTATGAATAAGAGACATAACAGAAGCTCAAAGTAGGGAAGTGGACTGAAGTCTTGGGGTATCTGTGCTCTGCGTCTGAGAGAAGACAATATTGGGTCTGGACCCCAGTTGAGTACGAAGGGTTGAAATACTCCATGCCACAGAGGGCACAGAGCCAGCCTCTCTGCTTGGAATGAATTCTTCCTGCTCATGACAAAAGCATATATGGAAGCCTTGTGATGCAGGGAACATACCTTCAGTCTTACTACCAAGGACCAAGCTCAGCTACCCTCTGATTCAGGAAAAGAATTTATGATAGCCACTATATTATTCACAATATACAGAATCCCAAAATAATGTTATATGTACTGGCTCTAGACTGGGTGTTGTGGTGAGCTGAAAGGAAGAAATAGCTTAACTGCCTCAACAGCAAGGAATAAGCAAGAACGGGGGTGATAAGAAAACATAAAATGAGCCTAGAGCTTGTATTTCAAAACATGCAAAGAAAACTAAAGCAAAAAAATAAAAGAAACATCAAAACAATAACTATAATGTTTCAGGTTATATTATATATAGCAATCTAAGAAAAATAGTAGGTTATAATGTTTAAAGTGGTAAATGTAAAAATTACATCCATTTAAAAAGATTAAGGAATATGAAACAAAAATTGGCAGAAATAAGACAAACATATAGAATAAACATAAATCTAGAAATAAAAATTACAATAATTTAATTTAACATTGTAATTGGTTATGCTAGATAAATTGAATCAACTTTATAGTAACTAATTGAAAAATTTCAATAAATGGGATAAATGCTATATTTTCTGATAACAGTTAAATAGAGCTAGTAAATTTAAAGATAATACTGTGCAATTGCCCTATAATTTAGCACAGTGAGACAATTCACACATGTGAAAGTGGGAGAAGTATTAACTAAGGAGGTTATGAGTCCAAGAAAAAGAGAATGGAGCAAATAAGGGCATACTATTTTAAGAGATGCTTATAACTATTTCCAAGACTTGAAGAACTTGAATCACAAATTTACATAGCATTCCAAATACCTATTAGGATATTTCAAAAATAAGACCACACCAAGATATGTGATGGTGAAACTGAAGATTATCAAGGATAAATATAAATAGAAAGCTTAGAAGATACCAAAGGGAAAAAAAGCATAATATCTACAAAAGAATAACTATTAGATTAACAGAAGCTTTCCTTTCCACAATAATTGGTGCAAGAAGACAATGGAGTAATTATCCTCAAAGTATCGAGGAAAGGTCAGGCTACCTGTAATTTTATATGTAAACTTGGTGTATCAAGAATAAAGATAAAATGAAGAAATTTTCTATATTACAAAGCCGAGGAGAGTTTAACACCCATACTTAACTTAAATAACTATTAAATGAGTGTTTTAGCAAAAAGAAAGATGAATCCAGAAGAAAGGCACAGGACACAACAAAAACTGACCATGGGAATATGGTATATGACAAGTTGCATTACAAATTAGCAGGAGAATATGGAAAAAGAATCAAACGATCCCTGAAAAGGAAAGATGAATGACCAATACGCATATGAAAAGATAATCAACCACCTTGGTGAACAGGGAATTAAAACAGGCAAAATTTCACATGTCTCAGATGGGCAAAACTAAAAAGGCTGATACAAGCAAGTGTTGAAAAAGAATATGGAAAAAGAGGATCTATCAGTCACTGCTGATAGATATGTAGATTGGCATAAAGTTAGAACACATTTGACAACATCTCATACAGTTGAAGATGTGCACACCCTACTATGCAGGATTTCCCAAAATATTTACTGCAGCATTATTTGCAAAATGAAGATTAAAAACAACATCTGACAAAACAATAAGAGGAAAATTGATAATTTGTGTAGTTGTAAAATGGACACTAAAATAATGTTTCTAGAGATACTTGCATCAAAATGGACAAACCTCAGAAGCAATGTTAGGTGATGAAAGTAAGCTATGGAATTATACATATAATGATACCATTAATATGTATAATTTATAATATTTTAAAACATATAAAGTAACATTCCATATGGATGTTGGACCCATATAAATTTAAAAGTAAAAAAATGCATGAGAAGATAAACAGCAAATTCAGAGTAATAATTTACCTCTGACCATGGTGGGAGGCAAAGAGGACCTGGCTAAGTTGTATGGGGCATTTCAACTATGTTTTGTAATGCTTAACTTTTTGAAAATTAACAAGACCTGAGGACAAAAAAGTAATAAAGACAGTAAGTGATTCACATTTTCTAACAACTCTGTTTCTCTGTCCTGTCCAGTCTGGTTCCTAAGAAGAAATGGGAGTGTCATAGTGTGGCTGTCAGAGAGAGAAGTAATGAATTAGGTCAAGATTTAACCTTGTCATCACTGAGAAACACATGAGTAATAACAGCTCTGGTTTATGGCACATTACTTAATTCCTTAAGAAGAAAAATAATAAGGGGAATAATCGGAGAGATAGTAAAATATTCTTAGAGAATGCATTTTGGAGGTCTACTGAAAAGAGTAATTCTTGGATCAAATATGCCTCAGAAAAGCCTTGTCTTGGTCTTTAGAATTTATGGGTGACCTGGATCACTTATGTTGAAGCTGAGAGAAATATATGAAGCAAATATGTAAGTAGGCATTTAAAAAATTTTCTTAGTTTAAAATTTAGCTTATGGTAGCCAAAAATAAAAAACAAAAAATCACAAAATAAAATATCTGAGATCTAATCCTTGTATATCTCTTGAATTTCAAGGTTTGACCATGGTTTTAATGTACAGACTTTACATCCTGGAGCATGAAGAATTGAGTGGACCTTCTCTGTTCAGTAGACAGAACCCTAGTGAGGATGTGAAACTGGGTTGCAGCAGTAGAAAAGTTGTTGCTTTGTGGATGCTTTTTGCTGTTAGCTTTCATTTTGGTTCTTAGATCCAAAGTCAATAGGTGGATTTGGGAGAAAGTCCCTGGTTTGGTGATAGACTGTGGGTTGCAAAAAACACCTTCAAATAGTTTAAAACTTTAGAATTGATCAAAGAGATATACTCAGAATCTTCAGGGGTTGGTTTATCTGTTTATGTGACACTTAAGTGAGTTCACTCTGTACATGTTACTTTTTAAGTAAGAAGACCTGGATGAGACAAAGATAAAACAAAAACATTTTAAGCAGCGAATACAGCATAAAGTCTACAGGGACATGATCACAATATATGCTATAATCTGAAGGCCTTCCTCACTTTTTTAATAGATAATTGGCTTGGTTTCTTAAGACAATTCCGGGAAAAATTGAAGCTTTAACATGTAGCTTCAATCCTTCCTGGAGCTCTTCAATCAAAACCAAAGGTAGAAACAGACTAAGGTCTTGAGAAACAAAATGAAAGATAATATTTAGCTACAGGTTGAGATTATTTGTGGAATGAACTTCGTCAAATATTGGTTTCTTGGCTTTCATTTAGGCTTTAGATGATGTCCAAGTATGTTCTCAATTCCTAAACATTGAAGCAAACCTATTTTTTTCTATAATACAATAGTTGGCCCCAAACCAAATCATTTAAAAGACTTTCTTGAATAAAATGAATGCAAGTAAAACATCCAATAGCCCCTTCTGAAGGGTGGAGAAGATCTGTCATTTCATAAGAATTTTGCTGAAGAGTAGAATATAGAGGAGATGCAGACATGTATAAATCTCAGTTTTAAAAATGAATATTTAAAAAGTTTTGTGATGAATGAACAACCCAAGCAAAATAGAAATAAACATTTTTAAACTTCCTTAAAAAAGGTAGTTTTATAAATAAACAACATAAACTTTCACAACATAGGAAGGTTTGAAGTCTCACACTTAATAGAAAACAAGCTAAGTTCATATAAAGAAATAAATAGTCACAAAAACGCTTAATCCTTGGTCAGCCAAATGTATTTCTGCTACTGGTCTGTTATTTATATCAAATTTTATTGGCTTTGGGAAAAGGAAAATGAGCTAGGAATCTGGAGATAAAGATTCTGCCATGTACTTTTACCTTTGACAAATAGAGTGTTCAAGTTATTATTTTTTACCTGTTGAATAGCAATAATAATATTTGTTCTTCTCAGATCTTAGGGTTACTGTAAAAGGCAAATGAAATAATTACTAAGAAATTTCCTTGAAAGGCAGAAACACCATATAAATGTGCATTATTAATTACTGCTAAGGAGAAGAGTCAATTCATAAGGATTGTAGCATTTAATGCTCATGGATAATAAAAATGTGTGTAAAGTTCTGATAGGTGAGATCCTTAGTACTTTGGTACTTCAGAGTACTAAAAATGGCCTTTCTTCCTTTTCTCTAGTTCTCAATTTCTGCATTTACTTCTCTTCTGCAGAACCTCTACCTGTAACCAGTGTTTCCATATATGACTATAAACCTTCTCCTGAAACAGGAGTCCTGTTTGAAATTCATTATCCAGAAAAATTTAATGTTTTCACAAGAGTTAACATAAGCTATTGGGAAGGTAAAGACTTCCGGACAATGCTATATAAAGGTAAGAAGAGGCCAAAGGAAGAAATAATAAGTGATGACTATTTCTACATTATTGTTGCCACATAGTCTTCTTTCTTGCCCTAAAGAGGTCTTAGGATTCACTGTCTGGCCATAAATGAACCATGAAAAACAGTTGTTGATTCATGATAATATTAGGGCATCTGATTCATTAGTCTAGAGTTATGTGCCATGCATAAGCATATTCAAGAAATACTTTAATCATTATCGCTTACATGTTATACTTGCCGAAAGCAGCATGTCTGGTGCAGGAAATAAATTCAAACTCAAGTTCAGGAGCACCTTTCCCTCTGGGTGTGTTAGAAGGGCATTTCTAGAACTGGGAATCTAAAGGGATGACTTTCAGAAACTTTCCCTAGGATGTGGACCAAGATTATTCTCTAATGCGAAAGATCATGCTCTTCAGTTCCATTCTGTATATTTGTCTGTACGACCGGCTACATGATTGCATGAATATGCAAAACTGGCTTCCCTGTTTTTACTGACTTGATGGGGACCCTATAGGGAGGAGAGAAAGAGGGGAGAGTCTAGAGGAATTAATAATTTCAAAAGACCCTGGTCAATTTCTCTGAGTTTACTGTTTGGTGAGGGGGTGAGAGGGGGCACGAGAGAAGGAGAGAGGGCATTCAGCTTTCTGCAAGTGAATTAAAATGGAGGAAGTGAAATACTCTTAGGACACAATCCGTAACATTTATCTGCAGGAAGGTAGATGATGATATCAAAGCTGACTGGTTGTAACTGAAAAATTTATTGGGGAGGTGGAGCATGGGTACTGAAGCACACAGGGCGTGCTGTCCTGAGAAGTGGCACTTTGACTCGCTGCTTTTACAAACTCTTCCTTCCACGAATGTTTTTTTTTTTAATGAGACACTGTTTAAAACTTATGCAGTGAATTTATAATTTTTTTAACTTTAAAAAAATCAAAGATAAACTTAGCCTGCACAAATTATTGCGTTATTATTTTTAGTGAAGACCGATTACCTGCAAATTAATAAGTGGTCCTTTATTTGCTTATTGATCTCATGAAAATACAAGTTCATGAATGATTGACAAGCAATTATTGGAACCTTTGTTGGGTTAAAAGCCACGAGTTTAAAGGTAAATTAATATGCTCTCCTTTTATAAGCCAATTTTAAAAATAATTTTTTGCTTTTAATTCCTAAATGGTACTTTCAGTTTCTTTCCCTCTTTTCTCTCAACCTTGAATTGGATTTTATTTTCTTTAGTGTTTTTCAATGAAATCCAAATTTTTCTTTTCTTTTTTTTGAGCAGGTCCTATCTGCCAGCTGGCAGATAAACCACTCTACTATAAAAATAGGCTAGTTTTTACAAGTGAGCCTAGTGAAAACATTTCTTGTAAAATCACTTTTGCCTCCTAAGTCATAAAGTGATAAAATACCTTGAGTTTTTATCTTAAATGTGTAGCATAAACCTAATCTCTAGAGTTTCTACACACCAAATATTCCTAGAACAAAAATTAATGAAATGTATCTAATTCTTGCAGGAAAAAAGTGTTTCAGGATTGAGTCAAAAGATCATATCTAGCCTTATACCAATTTTTTTATTACTGACCATGCCAGAAATTGAAGGAAGTATTATTTTGTGGATATTTAATTATAATTGCTTAGAATATCCTAGAAGTATGTAGCATTTAGGAGACCAAATTTTAATATAATTGATTTTTTTCTTCTCAGATTTCTTTAAGGGAAAGACTGTATTTAATCACTGGCTGCCAGGAATATGTTATAGTAACATCACCTTTCAGCTGGTATCTGAAGCAACCTTTAATAAAAGTACTCTCGTGGAGTACAGTGGTGTCAGTCATGAACCCAAACAGCATAGAACTGGTAAGTCTTTCGAAGAATGAAATTGGTGAAAAAGTCATTATATGTTGTTGTGTATATACTTTCTATCATTCTAAGATAATAGGTAAGAAAACATATATATTTTTAAATAATCTAAAACAAATTTTCTATCCATGTAAAAGGAACTGAGCAATATATTCAATTAGAAAATTTTAAATATGCCAATGTAATCATAGATTTATAATCTTTGAATAAAAAAGTACACGGTATTACCAAAAGTTACAATTAAGTTTCTTAACTGGATCATGCAGACATCAGGTTATTCTATAACCTGACAAAATGTTCATATGGCAAAAAAACAGATAGGAGATGTTCTAATACAGATTATCAGATTATTAAATGAATCATGCAGACATCAGGTTATTCTATAACCTGACAAAATGTTCATATGGCAAAAAAACAGATAGGAGATGTTCTAATACAGATTATCAGATTATTAAATGAAAGTACTAGAATTCAGATGTGTCTAAAACTTGCAGTACTTCATTTTAGTAGCATCACTAATATGAGGCACTGTTATATAATGGCTGGATATATGGATGGATGGATAGATGGGTAGATAGATGGAAAAATGGATGGGTAGAATAAATATACAACTACCAAATACCCATCCCCAATACAAATATAACTGACATTGTACATACCTAATGTGCCTAAGTACTCAGTAGGAGAACTGGAGATGCCATTCATATGAGCACTGGGAATAGGCTATAATAAATCACCCGAGACCCTGGCAATCTGAAATTCTAAGATGTCATGATCTCATTCATTAGGCCAAGGCAAAGAAACCATTTCAGCTAACTAAGTTATTCACCTCACCTCAACATCTAAGATTCTACTTGTATTTTTCATTATTTAATTCAAATAAAGAAACGTTAATCAAACAACTTTTACCTGAGGGTTGTTCTACGTACTGAAAGCAGAAGAAAAAGTCTGATGAGATAGATTCCTTGTCCTCAAAAATGGTAGAGGTACTGTACAAAAAGCAGAACATGATAAATGTTATAAAAAGAGGTACAGAGTTATATAACTGCACAATGGAGGGAAAGATGAATTTTTACTAGAAGTTCATGAAAGAGGTGATATTTGAGCTTGTGAGATAAATGGAAGAATTTCCAGAATCTAACACCTAGCCTTAGTCTATTTACATATCAATGGGTGTTTACCACTGCAGAGCCTCACAGTGGGTAAATTCTGGACAAGGGGTGGAGAGAAAATGGCCATTCTCTCTTCCCCTCCATTCCTGGCACCTAATTGGTCTGGTGCCAGTCAGTCACCACAGGCCTGCCCAAAAAGATCTTCCTGGAAGGAGCAGGCTGGAAGGAGAGCACATGCGAGAACTGGGCCTGGCTAGAGAATTTGAGCAAGCTGTGAGAAATAAAAAAGTTTCTCCCAACCTGCCCTTCCCCTTCCCTTACTTCAGTTTCACCAGATTCATAGGGGAACTTGTTCCAGGTGGGGAACCCCCTTGCTCCTGGAGCTATAGGGCTGCACCTGAAGAATTGGTAGGAACTGTTGGGAATAAAGACCATGCAAGGTGCTTTCATAATTTTCTACCTCTAGAAAAGTACGTTTCCATAATCCATAAATTCATTTTGTGGTCTATGTTCCATGTTAGAGAGTTGAAGCATGAAACTGTACCAACCTGTGTGTTAATGTTTTTAAAGGGAACTAGTATGTGCAACCCCTCCTAAATGCAACTATGTCACAGGGTGTATTTTTGTCTTGAGAGCTGAAAGGACACTACAGTTGCTTTCTGTGTAAGAAAGATCTAGGGACAGACTCAGTTTTTAATAATGGAGATAAGCTGAAGAATATTTGCATAACTCTGCTTGGAAGTGGGTAAGTTACCAGTTGGACAAGCACAATATCACAAGTTAATGTATTTGAGGTATGACTGATGATACACTAATGTGTATACAGCATGAATAAAGAAGTACATGGTACATCTTATATGTATGAATACTTGAGCCCACAGTTGTTCTTGTTGTAAATTAATGGTGCAATAGAAATAAAACCAAACTCTTATCTTATAAATCTGCTTGTATATTTGACTCATTAATAGATTAACTATTCCCTATAGTAGAGTTAAAATTTCCTTGACAATGCAAATTCTCTTTTACAGCCCCTTATCCACCTCGAAATATCTCAGTTCGTATTGTAAACTTGAACAAAAACGGCTGGGAAGAGCAGAGTGGCAGTTTCCCAGAGGAACCGTTCACGAGATCACAAGATGAAATGGGAAAAGACAAACTCTTCCATTTTACAGATGAAACTCCTGAAATTCTCTCTGGCAACATGTCTTCCGGTTGGCCAGATTTTAACAGCTCCGACTACGAAACTACACCCCAGCCATACTGGTGGGACAGAGTGTCTGCATCTCCTGACAACGAAGATGAATTTGTCAGTGTACTTCCCACCGAGTATGAAAATGATACACTCAGGGAGACTGGGAAATCATCAGCCTCTTTCTCAGTTTTTCCTGTACAAATGATACTGAGTTGGTTACCACCAAAACCCCCCACTGCCTTTGATGGGTTCCATATCCACATAGAAAGAGAAGGTAACGTAATAAGAAATCAGAGGAAATAAGAAATGGTGCAATCAAAGAAAGGAAAGTGAAACATTTGAATATTACATTTTTTAAAAAAGACTGGTGATAGACAGTATTTTTTTTTAATTGTAAAGAACAGGAGTAATTTAATTGAGCGTGCAATGCAGGCTGGGACCAGAAAACAAAACTGAACAGATTGGATCAGAATCCACAGGATGGGGTTGTTTGTAAATTGCAAGTACTGGCAACTGTATGTACTTCCTGACTGACATTATCACATACCCCTGCCCACATAGGAAAACCTGCTATTTGGAAAGATTTTGAATTAAAATTTTAACCATCACAAATCATGAAATATCCTGGAGAAATTTTCTGTTTTCTTTTACACAAATTTGTGAAGCATCCAGCAAAAGAATCTTTCTGACAAAACGGCTCCTTTCCCATGGGGGTCAGACCTGGGTCCTGCTGCTCTAGCCCCTCATTGCCCTTATGGTCCCTTCCGGATCCAGCACCATTCACGTTTCCCCAAAGAGGAGCTGGTAATAGGATAGAATACGCAGCAACTGGTATTTCTACTATACCTATTCTACTATATATTGTATGGACTCATCCAGCATTTCTGAGGGTCATTCTTTATATTTTAGGCCACTAATTTATGAAAAGCAGGGCCACGGCTTTCAGTATATTAGAGTCATGAGTCATACCTGAATTGTTGCTCTGGTAGGTGTTTATAGTGATTTGCTGTTTGTTTTATTTTTGCAATAACATCCTTCATTATACTTTCCAGTCTAGTAATCCGAACTGCAGAAGTCAAAATTTGAAGTTAAAATAGCAGCTTTATTTTCAGGGTAGGGCATTATGATCATGTAGTCTCATAAATGACAAATTGTTTGCCCCTATTTTTATTTAATACAATGAGATACAAAATCTGTGGGTTCCTCTATACTGGATTATAGAGCAATCAACCACACCCAAATATTATATACAATTGAAATTCTTTGTCATTTTCAATTATTTGAATCAAAAGTCATAACATTTGCCTGGAATCACTTGTATAAAAAACAGTTCTCTTAATCTGTCTTTCATTTTTCTGTTCCTCAATATATTCTATGGAAAACAGAGTTTTGTAACTCAGAATTTTTTTAATGCCTATTTCCATGAAGGTTTTCACACTTTTATCTTACTGTGTGAAATAGTGTCAGATAAGTTCTGTTGAAGACTATTGTAGTCACAACTGATGATAACTTCAAATGAAGTACTAAGCAGCAGGAGACGGACTTTGAAGCAATGTAAAAGTCATTTTTACTTTTAAAAGCCTTGGAAGCAAAGAGATGAAGGAAAAATATTGCAAGTGTCAGAAAATATATCAAGAAGAATTATTTCCAGCTAGAAATAATATTATATATTTTAAGGGATTTCTGGATATTTCATGCTACCACAAAAGATTCATTTAAGATATTTGTTACTGGATATTTTTTATCCTTTGTATCTAGATGTGAAAGTCAACGATTGTTATCTTCTCCTAACATCTTCCTATTTTATGCATATAATTGTGTTGGGTAATAGTACATACGAATACATGTATATATATATATATATATATATATATATATATATACTCATTCTGGTTTTATTGATTTAGGCACCATATTTTAGTTTGGTTATTTCAAAGTATTGTGAAAAACTATTTGAACCCTTAGTCATCTTTTCTTTTTTTAATAATGCCTTCAGTTTAGCGGTATGATTGAACTTGACAAAAGGAAGGAGACAATATAAAAGAATACTTACTTTTTGTATTAATTGATTATCTGAGGCCAAGGCCCTTCCAGGTTTCACTTCATACATATTCTCTTTTTATATACGATTTAGAAAACTTTACTGAATATTTGACAGTGGACGAAGAAGCTCATGAATTTGTTGCAGAACTGAAGGAGCCTGGGAAATACAAGTTATCTGTAACAACCTTTAGTTCTGCAGGATCTTGTGAAACTCGGAAGAGTCAGTCGGCAAAATCACTCAGTTTTTATATCAGTAAGTACCAAAGAATACTTTAGCATTTACAGGGGAGCCAGAACAATGGAACTAGAGAGATTGATGATTCACAGGCATCAATTATTCATCAAACCTTAGAGACCCTGAGAATTCTTCAAGGTCAGGAGAAGCCCAGATCCATGAAATTTTGACAGCTGAGAAAATATATATATAATTAATAGTAGCAAACCTACCCAGAGATTCAACCTAAGAATTTTTTTTTATTATTGTGATAATTGAACATTATTAAGCTGCCCTCCCACACTAGCCATAACAAATTCTCCAGGGATATGGAGAAATATAACTTTTGCTCGAGGCCATAATGAAAATTACTATCGTCAGACTCTATGACAAGTCTCTTTAGAATACTGAGTTTATAGAGTCCAAAAGAAAGACAAAAATTCAGGTGTAGTAAGACCAGGGTGGTCACCATAAAGCTGGCACAGGACCCCAAAGCTGGAGCATCCTGTTAGTCCCAGTGTCAAGTGACAGTGTGGCTGGATTCCCTCAGTGCAACAGCCGAGCAACCGCCTCACCTCTGAAGCTGCACAAAGAGTGCATGTCTATGACCTTTTTAGCCAATCTGATTACATTTACAAGAAGTTTAGGGGCCAAAAATCAGTTACCTAGCTTGTCAGGACTTGAGGGTGCCTCTGATCAGCAGAAAGCAAAACCAGAAGCCAATGGATTAAAAATAGCTCTTTGAAAAGGATGACCATCATATACGTTAGGTGGGACGAAACAAAAACAGGGAGGCAGAGCGAAGAGATCAGTTCATAGCAGCTTGAAAATGTTGCAAATGCCCCGTATAACATTTTCACTTAAACTAAAAATGCCCCCACTGGGAAAGGGCCTGAAAGGCCCATCAGACATGCCGGACGAATATTCAGAATCGCCCTGCATGTCTTCCAGTTGTGGGAGGTCTGTGACATGAGATCACTTGAGATTAAGAACAAAGTTTAGTATTCAGTTCTTCCCAGGAGGCTAAAAATGTTTCCTTAACCAAAAGGCTTCCTTGTCTGCCAGTAGAAATCCACTGCAAGGTCAACTGCGTCCAGGAAATCTCCCTGAGCTGCGCTGGCCACGCGGGCTCTGCCCTTCTCTGAATTTCTATGTGTTTCATATGGCACAACATAAAATATAGGGCTTATTTGTGTACAGTATTTTTCCAGACTTATTTGATTTGTGTACATCTTGCTTCTAATGCCAAATTATAAAACCCTAGCCTGGGGTTTACATTATTTGCTTATTTATTAATTCTGTTGTACATTCAACAAATACTTACAGTGTGCCAAGCACTCCGCTCTTGAGGATCCAAATTGACTAGTGCTGTCGAGAATGTCAGAATTGCTCAAGAATATGATTATTTCAAAGAGATGCATATTAATATTCATCTAGAAAATATAGGGCACTAGAAATTTTGCTTTTTCCTCTGCCAATAAAAGAATGATCTTTTTAGTGCTCAATATATTCTGTTCTGCAGTAATGAGTTATTCAGGTGGGCTGTATACCTTTGGTACATCTTGCTTCTAATGCCAAATTATAAAACCCTAGCCTGGGGTTTACATTTTTTGCTTATTTATTAATTCTGTTGTACATTCAACAAATACTTACAGAAACACCCCTGTGCCAAGCACTCCGCTCTTGAGGATCCAAATTGACTAGTGCTGTCAAAGCTAGGTATAAATACTATACTTAATTACAGATATAAATACTGTACTTAAATGAATGTCTTCAACACAGGGTAGTCACAGTCCATTTTCCTGATCCAGTTCTTCTGGTGTTGAACTATGACATTAAGATTTATTACATTACATTAAAATTTGTTATCTTATTACATTATGATTTATATGTATGTGGTTTTGAAGGCTTCGCTCAGAGATGAGAAAGTAGAAATTTACATCAGCCACCCAACAGCCTTACATTTCTATGATGCCCATTTTTCAGGTGAAATAAAATGGAATCACAGAAAGTATTGTGACTTCCCCTTGTGTCAGAAGGAGGATTAGAATCTAGGAACATTTACTAGTGAAGTCCATGACCATGTGGTCTGCAGTGGCCTATTATTACCTCAGGCCGATGATCAGGTCAGGCCTAATGTAGAATCACAACTGGATGAATTTGTTTGGTTTCCACCCACTTGCTCTGTCTGGGTCCCACTGCCCCAGTAATTTCTGGAATGGTAATAATGCTTCACATGTAGCAAGAACCCTATGATCACTTTGGTCCCAGTGGTGCTTTGTGAAATACATAATCAGATAGCATCATGAGAAGCTGACTGATCACAAAGCACTAACCCGGGAGGCAGGAGGTCGGAGCTGGGGCCCAAGCACTTCCTGGCTCTGTGACGCTGGGCAGACCTTTCCTGCCTCTGTGCCTCAGTTTCCTCATCAGTGACATTAGGTATTAGATCTCTAAAGTCCTCTCAAACCTAACATTCTTTGAGTTGTCCATTTGACAGATGCAAAGACTGAGATTCAGAGAAGTTAGGACATTTGTTCAAAGTTGCATCACTGCTAATGAGCAAAACTAAGTTTCAGGCCAACCTTCCTATCACCAGACCCGTGCTCCTCACTGTTTCGTAGTGTTACAGGAAGTTTCATACGGGGGTTAAGAGCATGGATTTTGGAACCACGCTCCTGTGTGTGGGTCTCAGCTCTACTTACTCTATCTCTGCCTCAGTTTCCTCAACAGAAAGTGAGATTAATACTACTCCTTACAGGTCTGTTATGAAAAATACAGTATTAAAATAGGTAAATGCATATAAGACTAAAACAGAGCCTAATACATAGCGAGTGCCATATCTCTTGATCATCATTATCATCATTTTTTATTATTATTTCTGTTGCTCCATTTACCATGAGCCTAGGACTGCCCTCCCCAACGGAGCCACTGGCTGCTTTTCCTCTCCTGGGTTCCAGCCTAAGAATACAGCTTCCTATTAAGGAACTGAGAAATGTATCCTAAGCAAATAAAAGGCAGTTGTACATTTGCATTCCACCAGAATTTTTTGTAGATAATAATGACCTTAACATTACTTGAGTCCTTCCTGTGTGTCAGGCACTGTGTTAATAACCACTTGGAAACCTAAGAGAATAGAGCTAATGGTGAGCAGCTCTCTGGAGACATTTTCTAACGAGGAACCCACCGTCTCCCTCAAATTATCATCTAGGTTTTAGCCAGCTTCTTTAATTGAGCCAGCCTGTTGCTATTTCTTCTCTGATAGAGTCACACCTTGCCTCTTGGATCCTGCTGTTATCAAATTTAAAATTCTTCCACATGATTATAGCAGAGGCTAATTCAAGTCGAAGTAATTATTTCTAGAAACCAAAGATCCTAGCAGCAAAGGAACTATATACACCAGTGAAATGCCCCACTGCTATACCCACTCTTTTAAAAGACAAGTACATTCTGTCCAGTGAAGAATTTACCAGAATGATCTCAGATGCACAGAACAATTGGTGTGGAGCTTGTCTCTTGCTAGAACTCATTTTATTTCTGTCTCTGCTGCTGCCATTCAGGTCCACAATGAGGTCCTGCCTGGATACTGTAACTAGGCAGAGGATATAAAGACCTACCAGGCTGGCTGCTGGTCTTACTCTGAATATCTTTGTAAAAGCAAAAGAAAACAACATGATTTTTAAAACTAGAATCTTTCATCTCTGTCAGCTCAGCATGAAACCTGCCTTGTTCTCTGATTTGAAACGTTCAGGTCCTTCAGGAGAGTGGATTGAAGAACTGACCGAGAAGCCCCAGCATGTGAGCGTCCATGTTTTAAGCTCAACCACTGCCTTGATGTCCTGGACTTCCTCCCAAGAGAACTACAACGGAACCATCGTGTCTGTGGTGTCCCTCACCTGCCAGAAACAGAAGGAGAGCCAGAGGCTAGAAAAGCAGTATTGCATTCAGGTAAAGGGAGGGAACTGCGGCCGTGCCCACTCACCTGCCACCCAGCTCACAGACAATGCCAGGAGGCCCTGGCAGGAAGCATGACTGACGTCCGCCAGGTGCACTGGGAGCAGTGCAGCCAGGAGTCAGGACAGGAGCCAGGTGATGAGGGCCGTGGCTCTTCAGTTACGTCATCTTCCTCTTCTCCTTTGGGACTCCCATCTTAACTTTCATTCCTCATTCAAGAGAACTTACTGAGCACCTACAATGTGCTAGTACCAGGATCGATGTTGGGGGTCTAAATAATTTTAATACAACCTGCTCTTGCAGATTTTAAATCTAGTGAGACAGTGGAAAGTGAACATATCATCACTACAGAGTGTGAAACAAGGCCATGAGTAAAAGTAAAATGATGGATGGAGAGGCCGTGTGAGTTCCCAGAAAGAAGCTGCCAGGCGTGAGTATTAGGGCAAGAGGGCTGGGAAACTGGCCAGAGAACTTCTCCCAGGGGAGGACACAAGCAAGCAGAAGTTTGGGGAGACATTTTTTTGTTAGCTTGTTTTACGTTTTTTCCATTCTTTTCCTTGTTGTTTTAACTATAAGAATAATGCATGCTTACTGGAAAAATAATTCAAAAAAGAGAAGCACTAAAGTAAAAAAATTCCCCTTCACTAATCACAACTGAGGAGTTTTGAAGGATAAGTAAGACCTTGATCTTGGATACTCTGAGTACAGGAACCTGGGAGCTCAGTCCTTTTCTCCTAAAACTTGGTTTTTTATTTTCATAACATCAAATGTATTGATTCTTGGCATCTTGCAAACACAATATTTACTTCCATAATGGTAAAAAAGAAAATGAATTATCAATTTGCAGGGAGTATACTGGAATAGAATATTCAAAAAATGTTTATCAAAGTTGTTTGGGAAGCTTCCATTTGTCCCATGATGATTAGGCATTTAGTGACATTCAGAATGAGAAACTTTATATTGATAACATGAATTCAGGAATTGTGGCCTTTGAGTCCTAGAAAGTCTTAAAGGCTGAGATGAACCCTTATTGAATGAGGCCTCCCCTCAACTTGAATCACATGTGGTAAGGAGTAAATGCGCTAACCTGATTATCCAATGATCCCGGCTCACTGTGCAGCCTATTAGCTTCCTGGCCTGTGTGTACCAAAGTGACTGACTCTTCACATTGACAGAAAAATATGCTTCTCTTACAGAACATGACCTAGAACTTGACTGCTCCAAGGTACATTTCTTCCTTACTCAATCTAATGTAAACTTAGGTAACTTCTGCATAGAAGTCAAAGGCTAAGGTATAGGTAGATGTGAATTATAAATGAGCCAGAAAAGGCCTAAGTACACTTGGGCAATGGGTTCTTACTGTGCAAAACTGAAACTGAACATAAGGATTATAGAGAAGGAGACCAGTATTTAAAATGAGGGGTGGAGTGTTGGGTGTGGACTCATAACCACACAAACACTTTGAGGATTGTGTCATTATTGCACCACCATCGTCCATTTCCCACACAAACACACACACACACACACACACTTTCAGATGAAGAAATATCAGCTCAAAAGGTCTCAAAAACCGGCCTATATCATGTGGCCATTAATCAATTTACCAGATGTTTTCACCAAGACCAGTGTGACTTGGGCTTATTTCCTAAAGTAACCCATTATCCAGAAAGAAAAATAATATTTAGTTCTGTATTCATTGTTACTGTGATTCAATAGAAAATTCAAACTGTGGCTCAAAAATGAGAGTGATTCTAAAGCCAAACACACACAGTAGTTCCCCCTTTTCCACAGTTTCACTTTCCAAGCTGATCAGCTGCAGTTGGGAAACACTATTATCCTTCTGATACATGGTCAGAAGGTCAGTAGCTGCCTAATGCTTTGTCACTTGCCTCACTTCATCTCAACACACAGGCATTTTATCATCTCACATCATCACAAGGTGAAGCGTGAGTACAGTACAATAAGATGCTTTGAGAGAAGGACCACATTACATAACTTTATGATAGTATATTGTTACTATTGTTATATTATATTTTTGGTTATTGCTGTTAAACCCTTACTATGCCTACTGTATTAACAATTAATAAATGTTTCCCTATTTCACAGTTTCACTCTCCCATAATTGTTTTACACATCACCTTGATCATCCATCAGATTCACTGCCAGGGCCCCTACTCTTCACTACAACTCCATTGATTTCTGGGTGCTAGGTGGGTGTTGTATAAAATGCTAGAAATATAACAGATTTGATTTGAACCTGGAGTTCATGAAGCTGAGTCTGGCCTCCCATGTAGGCACATTGTATCCACTGATTTGAATTTTTCCTCATCATGTGTATAGTTTTCATGTCTGGTTATTGTTTCATTTGTTTCATGTATATGTTTGTATGCAAAGGTTCGTGGGAAAGGGACTTTTGTGATGTATCCCTAACAACCATTTTAGTACTATCCATTAATACATATATGTTGAACATAAACTTGGTGTTCAATCAGTGTTATATAAAGGACCTGGTCAATTCTTCAAAGTAACGTGCTTTTAACACTTTCTCACAGTTTCTGAAATCACAAATTTCAGAATTAAGAAACATCGTATAATACACGTACATATATCTTATTTTTATATTTGATCTGCTTTGGTCCATAAGTGTTTTTGTGACAATTTACAGGAATGTATAATAACTAAATGACAAAAACAGAGAAAACAACAAATCAATCAATTAGCTTTACAAATAAAGAAGTGGTGAAGCTTAAAGTCCAGAGAATGAATCCTTAAGGGACTTGACCCAAGTCACACAACTGGTTAGTGTCAGAGCCGAGACCAGGACTCAAGTCATCTGACTTACTGGCCGGTGCTTGTATTCCACGTGCCTCACAAGAGAAGGGACACCTTCAGGGCCCATCTTGACAGAGTCAAGAGTAGTGACTGAAAGCAAGAGACTCCAGCATCAAACAGACTTGGGGTTTAGACCTGATTTTAATGGTTACCAACTATGAGGCCCTAGATAACTTTCCTCATCTCTCTAAGTCTTCATGTCTTAATCTGTACTGGAAGAAGCATATCCTATCTCACAGGGCTGCAATAAAGCTAAAGGGACTTGACGCTTAATGCAATGCACAAAGCTTATAATATTATTGACTATAGTCACCATGCTATGTATTACATCCCCATGACTTCATTTATTTTATAACGAGAAATTTGTACCTCTTGACCCCCTTCACCCATTCACCCACCCCCTCTACCCCTTCCCTTCTGGCACCCCCATCTGTACTCTGTATCTATGAGTTTGGGTTTGCTTTTTTGTGTTTGTTCACTCATTTGTTTTGTTTTTTAGCATCTGAATATAAGTGAGCTCATACATCTATCTTTCTCTGTTAGACTTACTTCACTTAGCATGATACCCTCTAGGTTCATATGACTGCATAGTTAAGTGGCTATGATTTCTAGTGGTCATTTTAATAAGAATCAACTACTGCCTCTGGAAGATCACCCACCAAAAGGCTGGAAATGGTGGGAAGCGGATAGAAAGACTCCCTATTTACTTCATTTGCTCTTCTACTGTGTGAACGATATTTTACCATAAACATTAGAAGGTTTATCACTTAAAAGGTATTTTAAAGAAATAAAGCCTCACTGCTTGGTGGTGCTTAATTATTCAGTTTGTCTCTTCAGGAAATTCTCTGTCAGATGAGGACATCTCTCTTGGCTAACGCTGGCTTCCAGCAGAATTACAATTCTAAAATATGGACAAGAAATTCTGCTATGAATGTAAATAGGAAAGAAAGGGTAGAAATGCTAATTTATTAAATCCATTTGATCTTGTTTTGGTCAATTCATTAGAAAATAAATTTTGATATGCTGTTCCCCCTACTTACAGGTAGAGCAATGTTGTACCAATTTAAATTACACGATTTCAACTATGTGGAATCACTTTCTAGTATTGGAAAGGTTTAAGTTCATATCACACCACCAGTACTGTATCTATTCTTAAAATCATGCAGAGACAAAAAAAAACTAAACTTATAGGTAAGATGTCAACACTATTCCTCATTGATTTGTGCTCCTTTCTGCAAAAATTTTACATGTTGTGGGTCCTAGAGGCCAAAAATTGTTCAGACAAATAGGAGTTAACTTTATTGATGCTCCAGTTTAAGCATCCTCACAATTCTATGAGGTATATAATTGTATTATCTACAGTTTATCAGTGAGGAAGTCAAGGAAGAATTATAAATAAAATAAATAAATTATAAGTCAATTTCCGTGCTTTTAAAGGATAGAGTCAAGTTTTCATCTTAGGCAGTCCAAAGAGAAAACCTGTGTTCTTCTCACTAAGCAAGACTGACTTAAATGTTAGACGCACTAAAGGGCGAACAGCTCCCTTCTTAACCTGTTAATTAAAGCATCAATCCTATGCACACCAACATTCAACTTTAATGACTATGTTTTATTCATCTGTCTCTCCTGTTTTTCTCCAGATGGTATATGCTACATAACAAAAAGTTTCTTTAAAAAGAACAGTAAAGAAGAGTTCATCTAAATGAGAAATGTTCTCTACAACATTTTATGTGCTCACCATAGTCTTGCAAAATGCTTACCTCTCTAATTCAGTGCTTAGTTAGCCCTGCGCCTTGCTGGTAGCATGGATTAGAGGTCACAAAGTTGGCTGCCAGTCCCAACACTGAATGTAAATCTGTGACCTTGGCCTTTCTCCGACCTTACCTTATTGATCTATTAAATGAGAGATTTGGACTACATAATCTCTCAAGTCATTTCCATCTCTGTAATTAGATATTATATTATTCTACGTGACAAGAGACTAGACATTCCAGCCCTGATCTTTGTTTTCAGCTGACACTACAGTTCAGGATGCCAGACACTTATAGCACTGCTGATCTGATTATGGTTAGAGGCTGACGTGTCTCTAGTGTACACAGTTACAGTTGACATTGATGGGTATAAAGCGGTTCACAGGGCTTATTAAATCCAGCCATAGAATTGAAATGTTCTGGGTTCCCTTCAATGTTCACATAAACTGCAAATCATCCTGTGAAATCTGACCTTCCGCAGCATGAGTAAAGGCTTCCAGATTTCAATGGTATCTGGGGTTCCAGAGAATCCCTGAAGACAATTTCAGCCTCTGTGTCAAATCCTGGAAGCCCAGCTCTAAAGAAATCTTATTGGGTGTTTGGTTTAAAGGTGAACTCAAGCAAATCTATTATTGAAAATCTGGTTCCCGGCGCCCAGTACCAGGTTGTGATGTACCTAAGGAAAGGCCCTCTGATTGGACCACCTTCAGATCCCGTGACATTTGCTATTGGTAAGTTGCCAGCCGCAAGAAGAACTTCACCAGAGTACTCTTCAGAGGGGGCCAACGTCCAAGCCCGAGTCATCCTCATATATGGGGGGCCCATACTTGTTTACCCAATATTCTACCTTCAGAGTAGTGAATAACTAGAATCGTGTACCTGGAAAATGTTCTTATCCTCTGCTACTCAGGAAAAAGAAAATAAGAGGTTTAAACTTTAATGATTGTATCAGAAGAGTGAAAACACTAGTCATTAAATTGATGTTTGAAGCCATTACTGATATATTAAACCTTCTTTCTTGGCTTTCTTTTTCACTCCCCACCCCCACCCTTTCTTCTTAGTTCCAACCGGAATAAAGGATTTAATGCTCTATCCCTTGGGTCCTACAGCGGTGGTTCTGAGCTGGACCAGACCCTACTTAGGAGTGTTCAGAAAATATGTGGTTGAAATGTTTTATTTCAACCCTGCAACAATGACATCAGAGTGGACAACCTACTATGAGATAGCAGCGACTGTCTCCTTAACCGCATCCGTGGTAATGTCTCCTTCACCAGCTTTCACACTCTGCTGTGGGAACAGACGTGCCCCGAGGCACCGAATGTGTCGGAAAGAGTTACCTGTAGATTAGGCCGTGTTGTAAATACACACAGGTAGCTTGCTACCTGCAAGGATTTTATACTTGGTTTTGCTTTTCGGGTGTTTTTGCTTTACAGAGAGAGAGAGAAGAGCAGTAATTGTAGCTTTCACCCTAATTGAGTTATCTGTTAATCCACATTTTAGTAAAGCCATCAAGTGCTTATTGTTTCTCTCTGCTCCTGAGGAGGAAAACACAGAGTTCCTTTAGTCATTCAACAATTACTTGACACTTTTAACTACTGATGACTATTGTTGACATCTACAAGTTAGTTAAATACCTACAATGTCAGACTGTTAGAGGATGCTTTTCAAGAGAGCTGGTAAAGATTGCTCTTTCTGAGACAAATAATTTTAAAGGAGCAGGTTACCTTACAAGTCAGGCATGAAATACACATTTGCCCTCTACCCAGATGATGACTAAGGTAATTGTCCCCCACCCAGGATGCATGCTTATGGCCCCAGTTGGAGAATACAGAGTTATGAGAGGTCATTCATCTCAGAAAAAGGGGGACTTGTATGTACAATTACTTACAAATGAAAACTATTTCACTTGTGCAATGTAACTTAGGAAACCGCAAAATAAAGCCAATATTGGAAATATTTGACTCTACACCTATGCATCACTTTTTAAAAATTCTGTTTGAATATCATTTTATTTATACTTCCTCCCATTCCAGAAAGAATTTTTCTTAATGGATAATTTGGGAAATACAGAAAGGCACAGAAAGGAAAACAAAAATTACTTACTGGGTTTTTTTGTGTGTAACCAAATAAAAATAACTTTTTATCAAATATGAAAAATATGATTTTCCCCCTTAGTCTTTTGTCTCCTTGCTCTTTTTAGAGGATAGCTAATCTGTTGCCAGCATGGTACTACAACTTCCGAGTTACCATGGTGACGTGGGGAGACCCAGAATTGAGCTGTTGTGACAGTTCCACCATAAGCTTTGTAACAGGTGAGTTGTACGTGGGAAATGATCTCCTGGGCTGAGGACACTATGTTGAAGTGGTTCTAAAGGGAGGCATCTCCAGAAAGTGCTGGGCGTTCCCCCCACCACTGACTGAGCCTCCATGTCAAAAAAGATAATATATGCTTGATTCTGAAATTCCAACATGTGTTTAAATTATAGTCTTTAAAAATTAAAATATCATTTTTATTTTGAATTACTGTCCTTGATTTACGTGACCCTGTTTGGAACTGATGAGAACAGAGAGAGGGCCGACTGAGTTTTCGGCTCTGCATTGCATGCCATCGATTTTACCCGTTTGGTGACTGTATTTGCTGAACTGCTTCCATTTCCTTATTAATTAAACCATTTTTAAAGTCGCAGCTGATTGCAGTGTTGCCCATTGCAGGAGTTAAAATAGGCTTTGGAAGCAGGCAGACCTGGGCTGGGACAAGGCTCTGCTGCACATGACGTGTAACCTTGCACAAGTGAGCTTCTCTAAGCCTCAGTCTTCTTTTCTTGTGTAAAATGGGGATGATAACAGTATCTATTATCTATTATTCCTTCCCATGTAAGTAAGTTACTTATCAAAATATGTGGCACTAAGTTTAAGTACTTAAAACTGTTAGTGTTAGATCCTCAGAGCCTTTATTATGCCGTCCACAATCATACAGTAGAGATATGGTCAAAGAGCAATAAAAAGAGGAAATTCATCAAAGAAACACTACCTTTTGTTTGAACTAAGAGTTTTCAAAAAATTTGGTTGGATTACAAAGCTGTAATTAGAGTTATAATGAGAAAAGCGAAAACTATGTTCAAGTGAAGAACAATGGTGGTAAAATCTTTTCCTCACTGGACATTTTTATTCTGTTGAAATTTATCAGTGAAAGAAGATGGAAAGAAATTAATCATATGTGAATTCTTACACAGTCAATTTACATAGTACATTGCCTTTCTTTACAAACCAAAGTCTAGAGCTTCCTTTGTTTGAGATGTTAATAGCAAAATTTGAGTAGGAAAGTGAAAAAAAAAGCCAAAAAAAGGAGAAAACAGCAATTATTTGACAAATACTATATGAGGTTCTTAACTATATTAATACTCCCATAGTTATAATTAAACTTCACTGTATGAATAATTCATACAGCTTAACTTTATTGAGATTAACTCTCTGAGAATACGTTTCCTTCTCAAACAGAGCAGCTGTCTGGAAAAAGCTCAGACTTCCCATCTGAGCACCTGATTGAGCAGAACTGGCTCTGCTAATTTCTAGCTGTATAGGTCTTTGAACAAATCACCTTGATGATCCTGGACTTCATTTTTCTCGTTGGCAGAACTGAAAATATTGCCTAACAACTGCCAAGTAGAGCAAAACTAAGTGTATTTGAACTCGCTGCAGTAAGGCAGAACCCCACCTGTCAGATGCTGCAGTGTCTCAGAAGGGGGACCTCATAAATGAAATATTAATAGGATTTAGAGTTCTAGACTCAAGTGGTGTAGTGCCTTTCAAAGCTGGGAGCTCACTGGTTGAGCAAATGACCCTGATGTAACATTTTAGGAGGACATAACTAGTCTGGATAGTTGTATGGTTTTTAAGTGAGGTTCTTGCCCCAGTGAGCAGTCTATTGTCTCAAACAAATTAATCTTTGGGAAATTCTTATCTTTTCCTAGGACAAACCGCTAAGTCATGCTGACACTGGCGGTCCACAGTCTTATTTAAGCATATTGACACAGATGGCCTCAGTTCTCACATCTGCAAAATAGGCATAAAATACCTAACAGGAGAGTGTGAGAACTAATTTATATAATATAAATCTGTTAAAATATGTATGTTAGCTGATATTTTAATACTTATATTTAAAACCAGTTGAAATTTTAGCTTTTTTTATCTGTTGTGATCTAAAATGCCAAATTGTGTGATATGAAGAAAATAGAACAAAATATTTGAATTAGCTGTGATTTATGAGGACCTCAAGTCTATTGTCTTTGTTAGCCAATTTACTGTACAAGTCAAAGTAACATGGCATAGTAATTCCGCTAGTGTACCAAGTTTAATAAACAAATAGTGACATCTTGTGGCCTTTCAGCAATACGCTGAATTTTAAAGCAACAATAAAGTATAAAAATCTAAGGACTTGTGAGGAGGAGCTGTACCCTTCTGGGTTTGTGATTTTAAATGTTTCTTGTCCTCACTAGAATTAGAACACGAAAAAATATCCTTTGAAGAAATAGAAGCATAGTGCTTATATGTATGAAGTACATAAACATATGTGAAGAGACTATAAAGAAACAAAGCTTATTATCCTTTATTAGAATATTCTGAAATATGATGTGTTTGTGTTACTTGCTACATACATTATTGATATTTAAGATTTTATTGTCAAACATATAGAAATGTTATTCCTATTTTACATGAGACAGAAATGTGTTTTTTCCTCTGTATGTTACAAATCTCTTCAGTGAATGTTTTTGAAAGCATAGTTAATTATGAATGTTTGTTATGAGTATTAGTAGCATATTTTTAAAAATCTTTATGTTTCATATAAATTCTCCCCCAAATATTTCAGTTGGGTGTGTGCTATATCTTGGAATGGAACGCCTGTCTTCAAACCAAGATACATGGAATTTAAATTACACCGTGTATGTTTCCTAACATCTTCAGAATTGTCAGTTACTTTAAAAAATAGTTAAAATATGTTTTCAAAGCTCATATATTCTAAAACTTGTGATGAACCCTACTCTCATTTAGAAAAAACATTTAATTTAAATGTATAAAAATTAAAATAAATTAATAAACTCAGTGTTAGAAGTTAGCTTTGTAGCACGAAAAAAATCCCTTCCTTCCTTAGAGTTTGTTTCAGCAACATTTACTAAGAATCCATCCTCTGCAAAGATACTATTAATGATATTGCTTTGTTATTTTATGGAAATGACATTTATTTTCTGTCCCTCTAATCATGAATCCTACTCTCCTTTATTTCTATAAACATCTTTGCTGTACCACAATGAAAAAGATTTACTTTTTCTAGTACCCCAAAGTTTTGAGTACTGCCTGGAAAATAAACTCACCAATGCCTAAAGCTATTAATTTACTGATGCAACAAGCATACCCAATCAAGCTAACATTTCAGGAATCTTAGAACTGTGAATTTTGTATAAAAGTCCCTGATATCCTCAGGAACACAGGGGTCTGACTGCCTTGTGTTTCAGCCATACAAGGCAGGGTGCCTAGAAACAAGTACTAACCTGATACCAGCGACCTTCGCTGTTACTGAGACATCCAGACGTCTCCAGGACCATCACATGGCATGAATTTTAATTCTCCAAATTATTTCTATAAGAGATTTTATGCTCTATTGATAAGTACTTCGATTATTATTAGTCTCTTATACAAAAATGTGCCTCTTTCCTCTCTATAGCCCCAGTGGCTCCAGAAATCACTTCTGTGGAATATTCAAACACTCTGTTATATATCAGTTGGACATATGGGGATGACACAACTGACCTCTCCCATTCTAGAATGCTACACTGGATGGTTGTTGCAGAAGGAAAGAAGAAAATTAAAAAGAGCGTATGTTTCTTTGAATCCCAATATTGGGCATCTGAATATTTATTTGCATAAACTATTGAAAATGATCAAACAAGCATTTATTGAGACATTAAACAAATGCATGCCAGTTGGCACTGTTTTAAGGCTCTGTAGATAAGACAGTGAACAAAAATTAAATTCCTCCTATCATAGAGCTTGCCTTTTAATCTTTGACAGTGAGCCATAATAGTTATAACTATTGGTTTCATTTATATTTAAAGTTATGACTTGAGCTTTTTCTTTAGGATATCAAACATTTTTAAGAAAACCACAGTGAATTTATTTTAGTACTTTCTATGTCTATCATTACCACTTAAACATTTGGGTATGGTGGAAATACTAATGTATTTTCTCCTAATTTATTAAGCTTTTTGATATTGTGTTAGTGAAGCTATGGACTAAACTACTGTAATACACAAGATAGCGGTTCAAAGAAAATCTGTTTATGTTTCTCTCATGCTAGCCCAGGACTAACAGGGTACCTCTGCTGTAAGGGATCATTCAGGGGGTTCAGATTCTTTCTATATTTTTGCTCCATCTACCACTATGTGTAGTCTTCATCTGCGTGGTGAACTTTCTTAATTATCACATCCATGCTCTAGCCTGAAAAAAAAGGGGAAAGGAGAGGATGTGAAGGCCTGGCCCTAACAGAATATGAACAGAATTATAAATTGCCCAGGTAGCTTCCACTTACAATCTGTTCTTCAGAATTAGTCACATGGACCCCTCTAACTCTAGGGGTGCCTAGGAAATAAAGTCTTCAGTTAAGAAGCCTGGTGTCTACAGCAATGGCTGTTTCTTCTGAGCTTCTCAACTAGGGCTGAGCAATGTACAAATCAGTAGCAACCAAGCAATGGCCTTTTCTAAAATTTGCTGTGAATATGAGGAAAAATACCAGAGTAATACCTATTCCAAATAAGGGAATTAAAAGCAGTGATGTTCTGATATGTATTAGGCTTGTTTAGAGCTACCTTGTATTTGGCTCAGTTAAGGAATTTACAACATTTTCAGAGGAAATAACATATCTGTAAGGTTGTAATCAACTGGGACTGCAGCCCAGAACAGAGAGGGAATGTCTGCTATAGCCCTGTAGTTATTTAGAGTGGTAATCTCGTTCAAGTTCCTTAGAACTTTAAACTATCATTTTTTGTGATCTTGCAGGTAACACGTAATGTCATGACTGCAATTCTCAACCTGCCCCCAGGAGATATCTACAACCTCTCAGTAACAGCTTGCACGGAGAGAGGAAGTAATACCTCTACGCTCCACCTTGTCAAACTAGGTAAGACACATGTGTATGTGCGTGTGTGTGTGCGTGCGCATACAAATAATCCTGTTGGGAGAACTTGTGTTTGCATCTCTTGATTTACCATGGTCGTCTCTACTCAATAAAATAAAAGAAAAATGGCTGGCTCTTTTGTGTAAGCACAAAAATGGACATTTATACTACTTAAAATTGAAATGCATAGATAAAATAACCCACATACTGAATTTTCTAAGTTGGCATAATGTCCTAACCATAATACAAAATCAAAATAAAAGAAAAAATGTATAACAAAATAATATGGATCCCCTATGTATGTGTTAGACAGCTCTTCTAAAAGCCATAATGAAATTGCCAGATGACTACACATAATTAAAGAAGCTTGAGTTTACAAAAAGTAAAAGTTAAGTAGTTTTTTCCATACAAGAAGTATAAAAATAAATGAAGGAATGGATAAATTCATATTAGTTAATTATACATAACTGAGCAATGTAAGTACAGGCGGATGCCAGAATAAAACTTAGAATTAGGATAACTAATAAGAGATTAGATGTGTTTGCATATGATGAGAGAAAGGGGAAATAAAGTAGAGATAACATGCCAGAAAAAATAACAAGCTGTAGATGAAGGAAAAGGAGGGAAGTATGATATTCTTGCAAATAAGCTAGAACTTATTATGTAGTGTAGCATCAAAATAATTCCTTATATTGTGATATACAACTAGGAAGTGACACTGTGGAACAGAAAGCACATCTCCAATCAACAATCTACCATGTAGTGAGGTATGCATTTAGTTTCTGATACTCAAAGGGACCTCAGAGGTCATATTCTATAACCAGCTGCAGGCAAAAGAGACTGGATTGGTGAAAAGCTGTAGGATAATATCAGTGTAAGAGTGGCAACCTGAAAATAAATGCATTTCAATATGTAATTTTCACAGCAGAGATCTCATTTTTATATTTTGAAAATGAAAAAGATATAGAATGGCAATACAGATATTTTCAAAATACTTAATGTAACAGTGATATGGTTGTTTCAGATGCTTGCTGATTTATACTCTGTATCTGGGTCTGTTCATAAAAGTTTCAAATCATCACTGGTATTATATTTGTTCATATGTGCAGCCATAAATAGAGAATGATCCAGGGTGTTGTATTAGCAGCTTAAATACCCTGAGTAGCACAGCTGGCTACTTCAGAAAACTCTTAGAAAATCCAAAACGACACAGAACAGTCTTTCCTTAGTTTACCCAATAGCTGCATCTCTCAATAATTGACTGTATAAGATGCAAATTCTTAAATATTTTTTGTCTCATATTTGCCACAGGAAAAACTAAATTCTTGCCCCCCCTTAAAATGAAATAGGTAGCTGGAAATTCTTGACAGGTTAAATAGACACTATCAGTGGAATAAATAAATTATTGAGTTTTTAAATAACATCTTAATTCCAATTCAGTATTCTTCTTAATGATAACTTTCTTCTAAATTATTTTACTTCTTGAAAAAAATTTCCGATATTAATACATGGTAAAGTACTTGCAATTACGTTTATAGTGGATTTATTCTGGTATGACTTAGAAAGTCATGTAGTATGTAGGACTTAAGACAATTTTATTGTTTGAAGGTTTCTTGATTTTTGTGGGACATCGAGCATTTCTGTGCCCTGGCCACAGAAATCCAGTTAATAACCTCCCTTGTGAAAACATTCCTGCAAATTTTCGAAGCCCCTCAAGGGGGCGGTACTGCTCCTGTTGAGAATCACTAGTAGTGAGCAATCTCATTCACTGCAGACAATCTGCACCTCTTTCTAGCAGTCTGTACACTTCAGTTCTAGGAATGTGGAGATCACCAGCTCCCAAGGTTGCATGATCTTTGTATGAAGACAAAAATTGCCTGCCTATCAATTCTAACCATTATTTCTGATGTCCTCAGTGGCTATGAAGATCAGCTCAATATTTGTTTCCAGGTTGCTAGAATTACTGCTCATGTTTGACATTGTGCTCATGTTACCCACGACTTTCTTTTCCCAAGCTTTATTATTCCAGGGAGCTGTAAGTGTTTCTTGGGTCCTAGCTGGTTTCTCCAACCCATCTGATTTGTTAGTCGCCCTTAAAGTATAAATTTAGAGGAGGCTTTTGCCAGAATAGCATTCAGTGGTCCTATTTCATGCTATAGTGTTAAATCTATGTGACCTAATGAATGGGTTAAAGTCATGAGCTAGTACAATTGTACTCACACTACGCAGAAGTATGAGTGAAAACCAAATTCATCACAGTTTGAGACTCCATGTCTCCCTGTAACCGAGAGGACGAGTTAAACTAGTTTAGAAAGTTCCTTTAAATTTTTCAAGAAGGGAAGGTAAGTTCCCATAGAAATTATTTCTAGTAAATCCTAACCTTTAAAATCATTAAGCTTTTCCTTGTTGCTATCTTAATAGCAGATGAAATATTGTCTCTATCTTGTTACTCTGAAAACTAGACAACCTGTGCATAATATGCCTGAACTCAGCCTTATTTTTCCTGAAATCCAAATAACCTTACTTTTTATCCATTTGTCCAAAAGTCTATTTTCTATCCTACTAGTTACATTATTGTGTTTTATAAGCTCTTTCAATTTTCCATAACACACAATGCCCTGCCTTCTTCTGTAGATGCTCATTAGATACTGAATCAAGTTGAAGCTACAGACCTCAGAATTGAAAATAGTATTTCAGTTAATATTTAACTAAATAATGACCTTTCAGAGAAGTGAAATAACATTTTTCTTTAGTAATAATTGAATGGCAATTTTTTTCATGAAATGTTCATTCCAGTCATTTTATGTGTTTTTTCAGCATTCATTCAGTATACATAGAAGTCATATTGATTCCACTTTACAGAAAAGTACAATTTTGCCATAAAGGTTTACAGGGTTTGCTTGATCCAGAATGGCATTGTTCAAGCTAGGACCAAAACTGGTTGTTCTGTCTCTTAGTCCAGTTTCTCTATGACGGAGGCCACTTTGGATGCTTTTACTTGCTGCCGTGGAGGTCTGGATCTACATCTATGGAAAGAAACCAGGCTATCAATGAATCCAGGATAATATAAATTAATCCAAGGTGGCAGGCTCAAGGGTAAAGAACCTTCGAAACAGTTGCCAAGAATTTTCAATTATGATGTCATCAATAAACATCTACAAGAAGACATGTACCAATAGTGCCAAGAGTGGTGCCATTTACAGGGCATTGAGCCTATCATACCATTAAGAATTTTAGGGTGCCAGCATTTTCATGGTACCATGGTGGTATGTGACCACAGCCCCCTTCGGCAGTCAGTACAAATGTCAATGAAATTTGCACTAAGACATGACATTTTACCAGAACTTACTGGCCTGCCATTATGCAACTGTGGCTTTAACCAGCAACCATCCTAATTTACAGTCCTGGTGAATCTACTTGGAACTCTGGACCAATTTTAGCAGGATTTGATAAGTTTATATCAGGGAAACACCCACATGGGGAGAAAAAAAAGAAGAGAAGGAAGGAAGAGAAAAAAGGAAAAGAAATAGGAATTACAAGTGTTGCACATATCACAAAATTGATCTGTGGTAATGGAATATCCATTCATTAATTCATTTAACAAAAATATACTGAGAATCTTGTTAAGCACTGCCCGGATGCCAGGCTACTTGTAGTAAGGAACCCAAAGGGCTATGTTCACTTTCTAATCAGAAGGAGCTTATGATCTAGCGAAGAGGGAGATGGCAAAGAGCTATGCAGAGCGCTAAAACAGGTAGAAAGTGAACACATGGTGAAAGCTTTCTCTGAGGAAGCAATGAGAAGAGATCCGAATTAAAAAGAAGGGATTCATCATGAAAAGGTTGGGAGAGAGCATGCTAGGCAGAGAGACTAAGCAGAAGACAGATTATACAGGATTTGTTAGGCATGGATTTGAGAATTTACTTTGAGTCCAATGAGAATTCACTTAGAGAATTAAAAGTAGATAATCTGACATATTTAAAATAATCCCACTGGTTGCTCAAGGGAGGAAAAATTATTGGTCATCAATGAAGGTAGCAAGACCAATTAAGGGACCACTTCTTCTAGCTTGAAAAATAGCATTCTAATTCAAGTAAATCCTTTGGGAAATGCTGGTAACTTTGACTGAAGTGGTAGGAATGGAAGTGGAGACCAGGGGACAGAATTCAGGAACTATTTTGGACGTGTCGTTCATAGGACTTTCTGATGGGGTGAAAATAGGAACTAAGAGAAAAGGAAATTAAGAATGACTCCCAGGCTTTGCTCTTGAGTAGCCAGGGTGGATGGTGGTGCAATTTACTGAGACTGAAAAGACTGGAAAACTAAAGGAGGAGTAAATTTGGGGTAGGGTGAGAATCAAAGATTCTTCCTTGAACATAAAAAAATTTGAGAAGATATCCAAGTGGTTGTCAAGTACAGGGACATGTGTCTGGAGATCAGGGGAGAATTCTGGGCTGGAGGTATAAATTTTGGAGTGTTTGGATGAGATCACCAAATAGTTAAGCAGAAATAGAGAAGAGAAGCCCTGGGTCTGCCTAGAAGAACTACTCCAGCATGTAGAGATTCTGTATAGCCAGTGAGGTCAGAGAAAGCCAACGAGCCGAATGTATACGCCACCACTGTCGAACTTCTGCTTTACCCTGACCACGGATGTGTTCAGGCAGGTTCAAAGTATCAGACAACTTTCATGCTGGGAGAGGTTTGGAGCTAATTTAATGCCATGTCCTCATTTGAGCAAGCTGGAACTTAGAGAAATTTGAACCACTTTGCACATCGTTGTGCCTGGTTCTCAAAACAGTGATCCAGTGGTATTATCTACCTGCTACTTATGTTATCCTGGATTTGAAGTGTATTTTTTTTCCCAAAAACCTCATTTTTCTATTGACGCATTTGACAAAGCAAAGAAGAGTCACACACCCATTCGTGTGACTCTCTGTTCCTGTTTTGGAATTGGAGAATGAATAACATTGGCTTGATTTTCTTAATCTCAGTCATGAAAGTTG